TAAACAATAGCAGCAGAATGTTTAAAGTATTGCCTACCATTTTTTGCATGCTTAATATGTGCCAGGTATCATTCCAGTTTGCTTTACACACATTATACCAGTTAATTCTCACAGGAATTTTGCATAGCAGGCACTGTCATTTCCATTCTACAGATAGGAATCTGAAGATGAGAAAGACTTCAGTAATAGAGTCGGGGTTATCCAGCTCAGATATGATAGAACTGGCTGCCAGAACCAAGCAGGTCTTAGCAATACATGTGATCTCACTACCACACTTTAGCCTTATGAAGTAAGAATTGATGCTATTATTAATAAACAAACAAACAAACAAAAACTCACTGCTGTTGAGTCAATTCTGACTCATAGTGACCTCTCTTTGGGTTTCTGAGGTGGTATCTCTACAGGACTAGATTGCCCAGTCTTCCTTCCGAGGAGTGGCTGGTGGTTTTGAACTGCCAGCCTTCTGGTTAGCAATCAGATACTTTAGGCACTGTGCCACCAGGGTTCCCCTATTATTAATAGTAAGATAAAAATGAAGGTTAGAAAGAATGTGTAGGAAGCTCCTAGCACAAAGACTGGTTAGAGAGGCACTAAATAAATGATCCCATAACCTTTTGCTGTGGAGTCAGTTCTGACTCAGAGCAACCCTGTAGGACAGAGTAGAACTGCCCCATGGGGTTTCCAAGGCTGTAATCTTTATGAAAGCAGACTGCCACATCTTTCTCCTATGTAACAGCTAATTAACAGGTTTGAACCACCAACGTTTTGGTTGGGAGCTGAGAGTTTTAACCACTGTGCCACCAGGGCTTCTTTTAAACAAATGGTGTTTATCATTGTTATTTTTTAAATGTCTGTCAGTGAAACTGGTATGCCAAGGCCAAGAAAGATGAGTCTTTCAAGTAGAAAATGTCAGCTGTAGACTCCCTTTGTTGGTTTGCATGCTGGCTTGGCTGATTCCTTTTCTAAGAAGTAGAGACCACCTCTACTTAGAACTCATCCTACTCTTGTTTCTTTGATGACAGTGAAAAGGGGAGTCAGGAACACTGGAAAGAGCAGCTAACACGCGAAAGTAACGCTTCTCCAGTTACCCCAAAACTACAATCTGTAAAACAAAAGCATTTTTCACTTTTATCAGTTGAGGCTTTAATGTTAGAGTGCTTTGTGAAACTCACAAAATTATATTTTAATTTTAGGATTCTGAGAGAAAGGATCATGTTGTTAACTTTGAATATTTGGTGTACTTTGGTATTAACTTCCCAGGAGGGTTTGATTCAAGAAATTATTCAGTAAAAGTGCTGTGGCCTATGAGCTTCAGCCAAGTTTCCCCATTTCCAATTTGGCAACAAAAGTGTCACACGTCTTTCATCACTCTTGTGGGAGGAATCAGAATGCCAGCAGTCACCTTGATCACAGCCACCTGAGTAGAGAAAAACTTGCACAGACTTTTGTTTCGTATTAGATTTTCCTCATATTTCATTGTTGGGGTTACTTCAAACCAGAGTTCTCTTGTTTGGGATTTTTATTTCATTTTTGACTAGGCTGATTTTCTGCAATCAGTTATTGAAAACAATTCCATTTATTTGAAGAGATACAGGGTATCTGTTGTAGTTAAATTAAATAAAAAGCTATTTTATTTAACAAAAATGCTAGTAATATGTCTCTATTTAGAAAAATAATTATTGAAGCAAAATGAATGTGAGCTTTTCTTACTGAATTTAATGCCATGTATTAAATAACTCATGGTAACCTACACTTTGAAGTCTTTTTGAGAAATTGGCAAGATAGTTGATTGAAGTAAAAATAACAAAGCAAGTCATTCGGTTATTAAAGATTAAAATAATAAAAATGAGTGGAAATAGAAACATTATGCTCACTCTGTTCTCATAAAGATCATCTTATACCCACACCACCATTTTCAAAGAGAAAAACTGCCAAATAGTGAAAAATACGGAGCAACACATTGTTGTGCATCTTGAGCAAATTTCTTTGGCCATTCCATTATCAAGTGTCCATATTAAAATTTCGAGTTTGAGTTCAACAGATTGTTTGATTTCTTCTGCCTTTTAGAATTAGTTCTAGCCAGACCTTGTTCATATAGACGAATGTATATTGTTGTTAGGTGCTGATGAGTCAATTCTGACTCATAGAGACTCAATATGACAGAGTACAACTGCCCTATAGGGTCTCCTAGGATGTAATCTTTACGGAAGCACATCACCGCTTTTTTTCTGCTGCAGAGCCACTGGAGGGTTTGAACCATTGACCTTTCAGATAGCAACTGAGCACTTAACCATTGTGCCACCTGGGTCCATTAGACAAATGCATAGAGAGCTTAATTTTAAAAATCACTTTTGGAGATGAGAAAGATGAAGTATCTCAATAGAAGGAAATAAATTTTACCTGATCTATAAAATAGAGAAGGAAATTTGTAACATATGGAGATATTATCATTAAAAAAAAACCTGTAAGCAGTGGTCCATTTCTTCTTGAAATGTTCATTTTATTTAAATAGTCTTTGACTACTGTATCAGAAAAGTAGAAATCATGTAGTATGATCAATCCTAAGTAAATAAAAATCATATAGTATAATGCATCTTAAGTAAATGACTTAACTCCATACATGTTGTTGCTTCATGAATTAGAGGTGAGTGGTTTTAGCCTTAGATCTTTGAGCTTGATGATAATCCATAACCAAAGCGATCTCCTTTGAAATGACCAAAACCAAGCAAAGATTTTGTTTTGTTTTGTTTTGTTTTTTTCCTTTAAATTTCAAAATAAATATCACATAATGCTATTCAAAGAGAAAAAGAAGATGAACTTTGTTAGTTGTCATCACATGGGTGTTTATGTAATAATTATGTGTTTAACTGTATGTTAGAATATATAATTAGAGCTGACTTAACGGTACCTAACGACAACAACAACAACAAAAATGGATCCTATTAAAAGTATTGGTTTCAATTGTTTTAAAACATCAAGTGACTTAATAATTTGGCTAAGAGTCTATTTTGAACTTTTTATAGTAAATATGTTTATTTCTGATATTTGGGCATAATACGTTGTACACCTAGGTTGTATGAATACTGACTGACCAACTAGCCGTCAGGTGGTTAGTGTGTGTGGAGAAATTATTTATTATGCTCTTTCTGTCATTGGAGTGAAATGAAGTAATTTTTAATTTCCCCTTTTCCTAGAAGGTGATAGTTGCCTTTGTCTTCAGGCTTATTATCAAGACCACCTTTAAGTGCATTTGGTAGTAGTTCTAGTGTTAGTTGTATCATTCTCAAGAAAGCATTGATTTTGCTTGACAGAACTTAGGATTTTGAGATTTCTGGCTTTCGTTTTATTCTATGTTCCTTAAAAAGACAGTTGAAAGGCAGGTTTTCCTTTCTTGTAAGCCCTGTGGAAATAGTGAGCTAAGAAGCCAGTCACTGTTTACACATTTAAACTGTGAAGAAAATTTAAAAATTCCCGCAAAATACAGGGTTTGTATCCCTCTGTGACTTGGGAACATCCTTGTTTTCTAAAGTGTAAGTGGGCTTCTCTGGTTTGTTTTTGTTTTGTTGAATCTCCGGGACCTCCCGATTTTCAGGGGCACTGAGGGGCACATGTAGCATTTATTTGACGTATGCCTGCTCGAATGTGTGTGCGTTTTCCCCACATCTGTCTCTGTGGACTTATCCTTTGTGAAATCCTAAACCTTGTATTAATGCTTAGTTTGTGATTCATGGCGTTCTGAGAGCAATTACATAATTTTTCTTAGGGTTTGTATTCAATGTGTGCTGTGAAAAGGGGGGAGAAGTATTTTTTGGTAACCCAGCAGTTGCCTTTTTGTTGGCGAATTTCTCTTTCTCTTACTGTGACCTGTGAATATCACTGTAGGCTCACTGCCAATTTTGTGAGCTGCTGCCTGCTTCAAAATGGAGGCAGGAAGGTATCCATTTTCATCAAGAGGATGACAGTGTTTCTGTCTTTCCGACCATCTGGAGAGAGAAACTTTTGGAGCAAAAGAAAATGGAGATTTTTTTTTTTAAATTATATTTAGCAGAAAAGGCAAGGGAGAAAACCAATTAAAGTTAAACTATACCTTATGAATGTATGCTTTTCTAGTATGCTGTCTTATTTAAATGAAACATAAACAAGAAAATACACAGACTGTTTTTACAAAGAACTAGGTCTCCAACTCTCCTGAGTATTAGTAAGCAAATGCAAGTAGATTAGATTTTTGGCACACTTTTTAAGTTTATTGCACACAAACATAATCAGCACTAAAAAAGAGGAACCTCCCCCGCCCCCCATCCTGTACTGTGCACACACTGATTGTTGGTGGTCTTAGAGAGCCAGGCTTTTAATGGCCTTTTTTCATGCATCTCTGCAAAACACTGACACTATAGGAACTCAATATTCTAAGATATTTTTATCATTTTCTGTGGTCTGGATTATTCCTGCTCTCTGTCTTCCTCTCTCTCTGTAAAAGTGAAAATTTTTAACTAAA